TCTCTCCCTTCCTTTCCTCCTTTCTTTCTTCTCTCTCTTCCGTTCCCCTCTAGCTCTTCTTTCTCTCTCTGTCTCTCCCTCTTGTCTCCCTTTTCACACTCTATCTTGTTCTTCTTTTTCTCTTTCTTCCATTTCACTCTATCTCTTCCTTCTCTCTCTATGTCTCTCCTTTCCCCATCTAGCTCTTCTTTCTCTCACACTGTTTTTTCCTCTTATCTCTCTTTCCTATTCTCTCTCTTCAGTTCTTCCTTCTTTTTCCTATCTCTCTCTTCCCTTTCTCGCTCTCATTCTTTTCTCTGTACCTCTTCTCTTTATTCCTTTTTCTGCCTTACTCTATATATACATATATTATCTTTTTTTTTTTATATTTCTTCCTTCTCTCTTTATCTCCTTTCTTCATTCACTCTTTTCCTTTTTTCTTTATCTATCTACCTTCCCTCTCCTTTTCTCTCTCCACACACACATACACCAGCACACACATGTATCCTTATCACAAAGAAAATTGAACTCAATGGAAAACAAATCACTGTAATTTAAACAGCGAGTCGCCACGCACAAAATAAACATCTTATCCCCGAGCTATTTTAATCTGCCTCTTGATATACGCCTTTATGGAATCCATTATTGGCACATATAGTGGTCAATCAGCAGATCTCAATATACCGCTTGTTAGGAGAAAATAAAAAAAAGAAAGATAAAATAGTACTACAAAGAATTCTCAGCGCTATAATAAGGTTGCAGAGGTCACCCATCTCATCTCTTTATTATGGGCTTCAGTCTTCCCCTCGCTAAAGGGAGGTATCTCGTTATGTGGTTATTGCGAGCTATATTAGCGCTAGAGTTGGATGGAGGGAAGTTGTGTGAATAGGTGGGATATTGGTGCACCTTCAGATAATGATTAATAGAAAGAAAAAGCTTTGAAGAGGTAGACCGCTGTATTGTTTTATAAAGTGGACTATTTTTCACATTTATTCTAATCGTGTCCATTCACACTTCTGCAACTTCCACAAACTAAAAATTTGACAGTGATTTGATGATAGAATAGAAATAAATAAATGAATGAATGTGTTAGTGTCAGTAACATCAAATCCAAATTCAAAAGAAATTCGTAATAAATCTCCCGCTTTTTCCTATTTTCTTCTCTCCTTCAAGTTTGCAGAATGACTCACCTGCTTATTATAGTTTGACTTGTGATCCAGTAGATTAATTTTTCAATAAATGAGAAGCTTAACAACTTACTTAGTGTCTCCTTGAAAGCAATCTTCATCATTAAAAGTTAAAAAAGATCAAAAAGTCAAGTCCTGATGTAATTTCTTAGCTCAATTCAGAATAATAATTGTGCATTTTTGCAATACATGGACATTACTCCAGTTACCAACATACTCCACAGGGCGAACCAGTCACTTGACATCGCTGTAGTAAAGTTTAAATGGTTATAGTAGAACAGTGGAGAGCAGACAGAGCACAAATCCAAATTCATAGGGCCTGATCTTGCTGTAGTAACGCATGTAGTAATTATAACTTTGGCACATTCTTAAGACGGTCTATGCAAATCCACATGTGGGTCTACTCTCTGCTCAGCCAGTCAGGGGTCTCTCCTTTTCCTCATCGCACCAGGAGATTATAGGAGATCTACAATATTAACAATTTCTTAACTGGATTAAAGATAAAATGATCATTGTTGCATCAAAAAGTAAAACATTATGGACTTGTTTCTCAATAGCCCAGTGCTTTTGATTGTTTGTTGTTGTGCATTTTTGATAGGATACAACAAGAGCAAAGGCAGGACCCACAGTCACCCCTCTTAATAAGGAGGAATAATGGACATTTTCAAATACACACCTCTAGTTTTAAGAACAACTCTCCCTGGTTTTAGAGCATGACAAAATAGTGCGTTCTTTCTCACCAGTTTGTCGCACTATTCTAGTCTGACGCCATCGATGCAAACTTCTCTACTTGATAATGTTAGAGGTGCAATAAAAAAAGCTGTTAACTAACTGTGAGGTGAATACAATTAATATGTATACTTTCTCAGAGTAATTTGTGAGCAGTTAAACACTGACAACCTGCCACCTTTATTATTGGCCCCACTTGTCTCTTCATCTATAAAATTCAAAACATCCCGAAGGAACCATTGAGACCAGTATGTCTGTAACATTTTTAAAATAACATTTCTCCATGCATTGATGTTCAGAAGATATTTTCCATACCTGATTCTGGAACAGGCTATGGCCACTGAGAAGTGAAAAACGCTTATGAACTCACTATGGTGAATAATTAGAATACACAGAATGTATAAAGTGAGGAATACATTTGGATCACGGCAAACTGTTTAAAATGAGCTAGTTCTGTTTTCCACACACACAAAAAATCAGATACATCACTTTAAATGCATAATGAATAAATCAGGTTTAGTAACTACTTCAACAATGCCCTAAGCTTAACCCCTAATTAAGTAGTACTAGCCTGAATCACTCAAAACTGAATTTCTATGACTGATTCTCTATATGATAAAGTTGACTGAGCTCTCTCAAAGGGGTGGAATAGTGCAGTATAATGAGTGGGCTAAATAAAGATCATATGCTTATCAGATGCAGCGGAGATCCCACTGCATAGAAACACAAATCAGTGACTAATCTGGCTGCTAGGAGGTTTCACAAGTCACAATTTTACACAGGTACGTTTACTTCCAAGATCCTGCCTGTCAATCCAGAACACAATTAACTCTGCAATACATTTTATAATAATGTTTCTATATTGCAATAAACAAACAAATGATTAAATCTGTAAAATGTAAAACTCTTAAGAATTTTGAAAGATCTGAAACCTATCTGCAATACTGTTACCATTTTTGGACCTATAGAGCCACCAAGTGGTAGCAAGAGGGTACAACAGGCACAATGAATCCATCACTGGCTTTAGTAACTAATATAACAGAGTATTATGCAGAACTACAGGTGTGTCAAAACCCTGATACTCAATACTAAAACTAGTATATAAACTAGATACTCATTTTAAGTATCAATACAGAAATAAATCAAATAAATAAGACAAAATTTGAAATTTTTTAAAATATTTGAAAAATATCTTGATCTGTATCAGAACTAGTATATGACTACATTGTAATATCTAAAAAACTACTATTATGTTTTGTTCAAAATTGCATTCTATTGTCAAAAAATTTGCACCATGGCATCAAAATTGTATCAAGCCATTCCAGTTGTAATGAAATCGAATTGGTAATTTTAGTATCATGACAACTCTATTGTACTACAGAAAAGCTATAACACACGTACAATCATTTCTTTCTAAACCTACAGCTACTAAATGTTTCTGTGTGGCAAAGCACTTCCCCTCACCACAAGTCCAAAACTTCTCCAATTAAACTAAAGCTGTAATAAAAGAGGTCCAAGGGGGGCATGTCATCTTATTTCACAGCCGGAGTGAGAAGCAAGAGGAGGAAGGGGGGAGGGCATCGGGTTTGACCTTCACAACACACTGTCCCAGCAATTAGCCATGTCCCGCTGTAAGCACGCCGCCTCCTCTGCATCAAACGCAAACTAATAGCATCAGTCAGAGCTCAGGCCGGGCGCTGCTAGCATTTCTGTGCCACTCAAAGGTCACCTTGCAAAGACACGCGCGTAATTAAGGAAATGGTGATAATTGGGGACAAGGAGAGAGAGGGAGAGAGAGAGAAGGAGAGAGTGAGAACGAGGAGGGGGGTGCTAACAAGTCGAGGCGTGAGGGAAGTTCTGCAGATTTATGAACAGTGTCGAGATATCAGTGGGAATTGTTTAGGAAAAAAAAAAATCAAATTAGGGACAGTCCAAATTAAGTCAGTGTGTCTTGTGCAAGGGTTTATTTAGAGGAAATTGAAATTGCAGTGCACCCAACATTGTTTAAAGTCAAGTAACCAGCTTGAGATGTTTTATTTTTCATTTAATCAACTTTCATCCATTGATTTATATGGGGCATTGTAACTTTTTAGGCAGTTTGTTAAAAAAATAAATAAAAATAAGCACATTCTTAGCAATATCTTTCTGTGAGGACCTGTTTTTTTTCATGTCCTCAAAATTTGTATAATTGACCAGTTTTACACATAATGCCTTATTAAATCTTGATTTTCAAATGAAGAATTTGAGAGAAGTTTCAAACCAATAACTTGTGTTAATAATGTAAGATCTTTTTTTTTTTTTTCCTATTCGTCTGTAGTCTCAACTTAATTAGCTTGTTAGTTTGTAATAGTAATTTGGTTATTTATTTGATTGACCTAATCTTTTAACTAAAACCAAACTGTTCATGTTGGAAAAGACTGTGGATATAGAGGGACACAACAAGAGTACCCATCATATGCACAACATGATAGCAACAATCAAACTATTTACCTTAAAGTGCAAGATTATGTACTATCCAGCTTTGCACTGCTCGTCTTTTCATTGGATTATATTTGTGTTTTTTACAACCTGTATTTGACACATCATAATTCTTTACAGATACATCACCTGGGCTTGGAACAAACCATGCAGGCTTCTGACCTAATGACTTGTTTAATGAAAAGGTACATTCTTAATTCATTCTGTCATCTGTCATTCTCACATTTATGCAAGCTAATTCTTAATCAGTACTGTATTTCACTGGCTCAGCATTTTCTGTACTGTGAGATATGAATATTAAATAATAGCCTACATATTTAGAAGCAACGCTGTCTCCTGTGCGGTGAATGGATCTTATCTCACTGCCCTGATGCCTTTGTGTTGACAGACCCTGACAGCTTAAGTGGCGTGTCTATCTATGCAGACCATATCCTTTAAACAGTCTGCGTTCAAGGCCAAAATCTGTCTATGTCAGGATCACAATGTAACACAATGAGAGACAATGGACGCTCAGGACCTGGGACAGCTCCACAGCGCAGGGAGCATGTGTTGTCTCTCTGCAGTGACAGTGTAATTAACCTATTGTGGGACAGAGGGAGGGGGGGTTCAGAACCAGACCCGCCGTACCTGTCGGTCCCCGATGGTTACGGTTGCCAGTGGACACGGGGTCAATGTAGAGCATCACCACGGCAACGAGGAAGGCCACCTGCAAAGGCCACTCTGACCTCCACAACAGTTTCATCCTGAGAGAGTGAGGGGGGGGGCAGAGGGCACAGGGAGAGGATAGGTTAAAAAACCCGGCACAGCAGCTCAAACAAAAAAATACAGTATTTTCCACAAACAAACAGTGCGAGGGGTGAGGCGTTAAGGTCACGGAGTAAAATGACAAAGTGGAAAAAGTGTGGAGAATTTTCTACTGCTACAGTACAGGAAATAACAAACTCTGGCACAAAGTTTTCAAAGTTACACCACAGAGTCAGTGGCAGATTTGTCCAAAAACAACATTTTCCTCTTTTGTTCCAATCAACACGATTCACACTTTTGCACTGTGTTTAATTATTATTATTATTTTGGAACAATTTGGTTGCCCTTATTTTTTCTTTGAAAGTGACATTTCTATGGCCATCAAATCTTTTAATCAGCTTGCATCCTGCTGTGTCACTGATTTCATTGTGTAGCTATCAATTGTTTTAATTTCACATTTCACAATTGAGTTGAACTAAACTTTGCTACTTTTCACACAAATGTAATACAATGCAGTACTGTAAGTATGTACATATGATTCATTTGTTTACCTGTTGCCTGTATTGGTCCAGTCCTGATCGCCTATGACCAGAGGGAGCCTGCAGTCATGGTTTCATTCACGTGCTCCTCTCTCTCTTTTCTGTGCCCCTCCTCTGCTCCCCTCTCTCAATTTCTGCTTCTCCTCTTCCTCACCTCAAAAAGCAGAAAGCCCTGGAGAAGAGAGGTACAAAGACATTAGGTCAGGGGCTGTGGTGGGCCGTCACTGGAGTTGCGTAGCTCTGTTTTCCCTGGTGAAGAGGTCTACAAACACATGTACACACATGCGCACATACACACTCATGAGTGGTTTCTGTGTTTCTGCTTTGGGCCTGACACGGACTTGGAGTAATTTCCTGGAGAATGATCCTAACCTAGGCAGTTAAAACCATAGTTCGGAACATTCTCCAGGTAAATGCCGTACTGCAGAATACTATAGGAAGGAACAGCATTATAGGAAGGATCAACATATCCATGGAGACAAGCAGAAGAAAGTGAAAAAAAAAACATGCATATTTAGTCTAGATGTTGCCTTAAAAGTTACACAATCATGCTTTAATCTAAATCCTAACTTATTTTAACTAATTTTTGAACTTAAAACCACACTGTTGATCTAATAATAAAGATTTTAACGGGTCTCCTTGATGTGAGTATACTATGTGCACATATTTTAGTCCCCACTATGTGATAAATCCCCAGCCCACACACACAAACACACAGGCACACGTGGGGCCAGAGATGTGAAGGCCTAGATTCTGTCAGATCCATTGTTTACAATTGGTTCACCTACCCCCGGGCTGAACGTGATCCCCCACATCAGAAACAACCTCCCCTGGTCACACAAGCGCTGGCGTACAAGCGGATGGACACCTACTGCTCCGCGCGCTCACAACACCTCCAACATGGCTCGACTGCTAAACGAGGAGGAAAAGCCCGCCAAAAACGGACGAATCGCGAGGCTATAAAGTCTGACAAATCAACATCATCACTTGGTATTCACGTACAATAAAGTTATTCGCAGTACAATATGTCGTAGAATTAGAATTAAAATACCAATGCGAGTTGGCGCAATCGTCAAATCGCAAAGGCTAGAATTATTTAGGCCAGATAACAGAAACTTAACTTAAACTTAGCAAAATATCATGTCTTTTTACAGAATACAATGTCATCTTGTAGTTTAGACCTCTACAAACGTGAAATACAAGGAATTCGTGTATTCATTTATCAGCTAATATATCTTCTCTCAAAGGTTAATGTTCCAGGAGTAGTTTACAATGCGCACTCTGATCAGAATCTCACTTTTTAAACATATATCGCATATTCAATGGCAATCAAAATAATTAACACTTAAGAAGAATAACTTCATTACTTTTTTTTTTTTTTTTTTTTTTTTTTCAAAATTGTGTCGCTCTAATTCACTGCATACTGTAGTGGCAAAATAAATTCAATCAACGTCAGTGAAGCAAGAGACATGGGGAGAGAGTTTCCCTAATTACATTTGAGAGACAGCTCCTAATGCGTTCACACACACTAAATTACCTTCCCAAAGTAAAAGAGTGTCAACATGGTTCTCCTTACAAGCGGACTAAACTCAGCGGACAAAATGAAAGACACCAGATTGGCATTAATAACAAAATGGCCCGCTCCCCTCTCCCAAACCTTCATTATTCATCATGAGGCATTGAAATTCAGCTCAGTGTGGAACTCCGGATCAGGAATGTCCAGGGATCGTCAGCTCCTCTGCCTCCAGACGTGATACTCCTGCCCCCTAGTGGCCAGAAAACGCAACAGTGCTGAGCCAGTCCAAAAGGAAAGGAATAGGAATTTTGAGAAATCCACTTCTCCGTCGTCAAATAATAATTTTTACTTATTAGTTATTATTAGAATACTAACATTGCTACAGAGAACTAATACTACAGCTAGCGACTAGTAATGCCAATATAATTAATTCAATAAATGGTTCTTTCAATTAGCACCTGAGTAGTTGTAAGGGCAACTTCAAATTACTGAAAACCAAGTGAAAACCAAGTGTGACCCAGGTTTTTTTTTAATCCTTTTTTTAGACTAGATTGTAAGAAATCTGAACAGTTCTTATGACAGATGTTAAAACAGTAAAATATTTGAAAAACAAAGGTTTTCAAATGTTTTGTGCCTTAACTGAGTTATAATAGTTTTGAACACAACTGATGATCATGACGTTTCAGATCATGTGCCAAAGAACACTGTAAAAGTGGTTAATTACTTTATTATTTATTATTTTATTTGCATAGTTCAAACATGATATAGGCAGTGTTGAGAAATACATGTACTGAGAATATGTATTCAGAATACTAATTTTAACTGTATTCTGTATACAGTTACTTGGTGGTATTCATACAGTTACATTTTAATAAACAAAGGAATACACTGCAGTACTTGATTACACAATTTAGACTTCAAACTGCTCATAACTACTGTGAAAATAATAGAACCATGGCCCTTACAGTGTGTGCATGTGTACTTTTCCCTCTTCAGTTAGTGATAGGAAAAGCATAACAAACAGTGAAACAAACATAAAGCTGTTTTAATACTATGTTGAGTCTTTAGACTATAATTTATATGCACAGAAATATTCTAAGTATTCAGAATATTGCACACTGATTGGACCATGTATCAGAATATGTTCCAAAATCCATTTTAATGCAGGTATTCAGTATTCTGTAACTAAATACATTTTCTAAGTATTCTTCCCATCACTGAGTATAGTAGGTTTGTGTTTATTAACTGTGTTGGTAAAAAGTGGACCACTGTGAAGTCATTAAAAAGTAAGAAGGGGTTTTATATTTCCCTCTATATTTAGATTTTAAGACCTTAATTCACTTTGTCCATTGTTGCACACATGTTTACAATTTTCACTTGCAAAATGAGCAGTGATGCAAATGGTTTGTGCTGACTGCTGACTGTGTGAAGTTACCAGGCATGCTGCATAACAACACTCTCACACATTTCTAATTCTCTTTAAAGGGTTGAGCCATGGCATGCATTTTGAGCAGCTTTGTACTCTCATATACTCATTAGTGTGAACAGCGTTCATGTGAGCACATATGAGAGTGCATGTGTGAGAGTGTGTATGAGAGTCAGAGACTGTATAAAGAAGTGGACTAAAGGGAGTATGATGTCACCCATCGCGTTTGGCTCCAGTCTAATGAAGCTCATGATGCTAGCGGTTACAGGGGCAAATTTAGAGCCAAGTTCCATATTAGAAATAGGAATTTACAAAATGGCGAAATAAAAACATAAAAAAAAAAAAAAAGTTGGAAGTGCCTTCATGAACACTTCATGTGGAACGAGGCGGATAGCAGGTTAGCTATGCCCATTTATATTTACAGTCTATGATGAGAGTACATGTGCGAGTGTGTATGAGAGTGCATGTGCGAGTGTGTATGAGAGTGCATGTGCGAGTGTGTATGAGAGTGCATGTGCGAGTGTGTATGAGAGTGCATGTGCGAGTGTGTATGAGAGTGCATGTGCGAGTGTGTATGAGAGTGCATGTGAGAGTGTGTATGAGAGTGCATGTGCGAGTGTGTATGAGAGTGCATGTGAGAGTGTGTATGAGAGTGCATGTGCGAGTGTGTATGAGAGTGCATGTGCGAGTGTGTATGAGAGTGCATGTGCGAGTGTGTATGAGAGTGCATGTGCGAGTGTGTATGAGAGTGCATGTGCGAGTGTGTATGAGAGTGCATGTGCGAGTGTGTAGAGTGCATGTGAGAGTGCATGTGCGAGTGTGTATGAGAGTGCATGTGCGAGTGTGTATGAGAGTGCATGTGAGAGTGTGTAGAGAGTGCATGTGAGAGTGTGTAATGAGAGTGCATGTGCGAGTGTGTATGAGAGTGCATGTGCGAGTGTGTATGAGAGTGCATGTGCGAGTGTGTATGAGAGTGCATGTGCGAGTGTGTATGAGAGTGCATGTGCGAGTGTGTATGAGAGTGCATGTGAGAGTGTGTATGAGAGTGCATGTGCGAGTGTGTATGAGAGTGCATGTGAGAGTGTGTATGAGAGTGCATGTGCGAGTGTGTATGAGAGTGCATGTGCGAGTATGTATGAGAGTGCATGTGCGAGTGTGTATGAGAGTGCATGTGCGAGTATGTATGAGAGTGCATGTGAGAGTGTGTATGAGAGTGCATGTGCGAGTGTGTATGAGAGTGCATGTGAGTGTGTAGAGTGTGTGAGAGTGCATGTATGAGAGTGCATGTGAGAGTGTGTATGAGAGTGCATGTGCGAGTGTGTATGAGAGTGCATGTGAGAGTGTGTATGAGAGTGCATGTGCGAGTATGTATGAGAGTGCATGTGAGAGTGTGTATGAGAGTGCATGTGCGAGTGTGTATGAGAGTGCACATGAGAGTGTGTATGAGAGTGCATGTGCGAGTGTGTATGAGAGTGCATGTGAGAGTGTGTATGAGAGTGCATGTGCGAGTGTGTATG